CATAAAAATCCCTCTCTCAGATTTTACAAACTTTATTCAGATGACTATTCATTATTTCTGCATATCAAGTATTGCATACAATAATTAGGGAACCACTTATAAATACAGATGTGTTTCCTACTGATCCATATATGAGTATGATTTTTTCTACTCCTTTGTTGTTGTTTTCATTCACATAAAACCCTTTTAAGCCACAGATCTATTGAAAATTTCATGAAAAGTATGCAAACTCTAGGCATAAAAATGCATAAAGAAACAAAATTTTGCACATATTCTGAAAGGACTTGATATAGATGTTCTAGTATTTTACTTGAGAAAAGCAGGAAGTAAAGACCTGGAGAGCATTATGCTGAGTGAAATAAGTCGGTCAGAGAAAGCAAAGCATCATATGGTTTCACTCATATGTGGAATCTAATGAACAAAATAAACAAACCAGAAAATAGAAACAAAATCACAGATTCAGAGAACAGACTGACAGCTGTCAGAGGGAAGGGAAGTTGGGGAGCTGGGTGAAAAAGGTGAAGGGATTAAGCAAAAAAAAAATCAACTCATAAACCCAGACATCAGTATTGTGATTACCGGAGAAAGTGAAGGAGGTGGGAGGTAGAGAGGGTAAAAGGGGGACAAATGGTGCTGCAAGGAGACTTGGGGTGGTGACACACAATGCAATATACAGATGCTGTGTTATAGAACTGCACACCTGAAACCGGTATAAGTTTATTAACTGATGTCGACCCACTAAATTAAAAATGGGAAGATAATCATGAATCCATAATTAGAAAAGAACGATGATTCTAAAATCAGGGTGCTTTGACGATGCTACATGTCTGCGTGAATAAAGCCATATATACCCCCACATTGCTGACGGTGAAAGGGCGAAGGGTTCGTGCTAGAAGCCCTGGCAATCTACCCAGGGTTAGCTCCCTCATTGATAAAATGGAGAAAATATAATTAGATTATTCTAAATATTAAATAAAATTCCATCTCAATCATTTAGTATCTGGCTTAGAGTGGATATTGAATAATTTATATGCATAAAATGAAAATATTCAGCATTTGGGAGCTTTTTCTTTAATTAAGCAAAAATCATGTGGTAGGTTAACTAGCTACTTGACACCTGAATGCACAGCTCTTTTTCTTGAGCTCAAGTCAGCAACCCCTGACGTCCTTCTGGTTTTCTCCCTCCCCTCCCATCCAGTGAAGTCATGTGAATCTAAGTTCATTCCTTCACAGTCAGTGCCTTCCCCACCACCAAGCTCACAATTTGTTAATCCAGTAAACTAGTTCATGCTAATGTGTCAAAAGGCAAGATGTTTCTCCCTCGGCTGTCACCAAGCCTCTGCTCTCTGAGACCTCTTTGCGCCTTTTGGAAAGCATCTTCTATTAAACTATCTCTTCACCACTTTTATCCTTTAGTTCAATTCAATAAATATTTACTAACCTATTTTATACCTAGTATTTTAATGTGCTTTACTCGGACCAGAGGCAGAGACGTAAAATATAAACATGAATAAGTTAAGGACACTCTCCTCAATACAGTTAGTTAACTATAATTCTGAACATAAAAGACTTGGTAATAAGGATTTGGCCTTTGTAAGAGGTAAGTCAAACATGTAATTTTGGGTAAAAGAAAAATTCTAGAGTTTAGGCTGCAGTGTCAATAATGATAAAAGGGAAAATTAATTAAAATGGAAATTAGAATATATAAAAACAAGGAAGAGTTTGAGGAAATTTGCAGTTAACTCAAAGAAGACATTATGCTTCAAAAGATTCATTCATTTTTTTGCAATAACTCTGTTACTTTATCTTCCAAGAAAATATAATTATTTATTTATAAATATACACTAAATATTTTTTCTTAGATTTATATAAATTAAACTTCAAATGTGTGATCACTAAATTTAAAAACCTTTCTTAAGATGTTATTTTTTAAGAAGTTGAAGATTTTGGTGAGAGTTGAAATATTAAAGATAGATTTAATGCAGACTGGAAGAAAGATGTCTGTCTGTTTTTTCCCAATGAAACATTTTAATTAATGACACTGTTGAGTGAGCAGTAGGGATAAACATTTGAGTTTAGGCAGTATGAATAATGCTGCTCATCAGGAAATGCGAAAGAAACTCGAAAGTACATAATCACATTCTTCCTCATAAACTGAAGGCTTGATCCTATCTCCCAGAGGAGAGAAGGGGCTCATAAATCTACAAAGACTATGCAAAAAGAGAAAAAATTCACCCCAGAGACATAAGGCAAACTCTCCTTGCCATGAACTCAAACATCCAAACAAGTGGCAGCAGGAGCAATGAGAAAGGTGAGGTCGCTTTCCTCTCTAACAGGAGAGCAAACTCTGACGTTCATTCCAGAATTACTTCTTTTCGAACTAGAACCAGAACACATACATCTCAACAAATGCAACTACAAACCAGAGTTTTTACCAGTTCAAACCAAACACAGACAAGTAAATTAAGCTCAGGTAACCTAGCCCAGGCAGAGTCCTGGTGCTGACTGTTTGGCATTGTCTGATGATAAACTTTCCTCCTTTGTACTTAAGAATACAAGAGTAAGCAAACCTTGAACTTAATACAAATCAATTTTTAGTTTTGTTCTAGTTGATATTTTAAAATACGTGTCTAAAGTTCTATAAAAATCATGCTATTTCTATTTTACCCTCAGTTCATCTGGAAAGTGATAATCATACCTATATCATAAGGTAATTTTGAGAAGTAAAGGAGTTTACAAACACCAGTCATTTACTGGGTGCATTCAATATTAGCCCTATATAACATGTAGTCATATTAATGAATACAGAATTATACAGTCTATTATATGCTGCCAAGCAGAAAGTTATACAATGTACTTGGTTACTTTATATAATCACATAAAGACTACTGATTGGACTAAGAAAGACACAAGGAAACAAACAAAAAGATCCCTAAACTACTTTTGGGTAAGTACGGTAGATAGGTTATATTTTTCTAATATAAACTATATAAAATATCATTTATAGAAATTTAAAGGATAGAAATATATTAGTACTTACATTTCTGTGACAAGGAAAAGGAAGAATACATATTACATAACTTAAGTAAACATGTACTATGTGGCTTTTCCATAATTTTAAAATAAAACAATAATCCAATGAAAATGGTATGAAATAAATTTTGAGTGTCAATACATACCAATAATTTACTCACATTCACTTAATTTAAATGAATAAAAATTGCTTACTGGACTACCAAACTTGCGATAATTTTTTAAACTATGGAACAGCTACTAACTATTTTCTAATTTAGAATGCAGTTCATAGTTCTACTCCATTAAACATTCAACAGGTATATTATGAATTCTATTGTAAAGACAATTAAATATTTAATTTAAAGTGGACATGTGCCTTTCTAAAAATTGTCCTAAGAAAAGTTTGAAGGAATTTATAAATTATAGAAGAGAAGTATAATATGAGTAATCTCCTGAAAAGTAAGCCTGGATCCTTTATGTAGGGCACTTCTGGCTGCAAACCAGAGATTTAAAAAATGCCAGACGATCGCAGAGAGATGGAGAGGAAAATTACTAACATACTAATGAAGGTAGTAGCAAAAATATCCTTTGTCAAGAATTATAATCCAACATCTGTCTTTATTCATTATATACAGATACTGTCTTGATATTTAAGCCCTCAAATGTTATAGAATAATAGGATAGAATTTTCTATTAAAATAGAAAAATAGAATTTATAAGAGAATTTCAAGAATGACTTATAAGAGCCAAAGATCAAGTGAGATTTAATATAAAGTCCATGTGAAGACATGGCTAGAGTTTAACTAGCAAAGGCAATCAGTATAAACTCCCACATATTTCTGTATCCATAAAAGGCATTTTCAATTTGTAACACAATATCTTTGAATTAAATGGACACAATTTGATTTAGATTTTCTTTGCTTGTTTTACATTTAATATATTATCACAAGAACATTCATATTAAGAGTTGTCTTTCTAAAATAATAAGAAGCCCATCACATCAAACAATAGAAATTTACTTTGAAAATGTTAAATGTTTGGAAATATCAAAACTTCCAAACCTTTCCATTGATGTAAATGAGCGGGATTTAATAAGAAATATGTGTACTTACCTAAAATACTAGGCAATTATATGCTATATGTATAATGAAGTTTAATGTGCACAAAGTAAATTAAAATAGTAATTTTGCTCTCATAGCATATATCCTTATATTTTATCTTTTCATAAGAAATTCAAGTATTCAAGATTTTTCTTATAATGCAAGGCAGTTTTGTATCAGATGGTATTAATCACTCGCCAAAATGGTAGAAGGTATTTTTATCTATAAAAACTTTTAAAATATCTATACCTGTTATACCTATTACTAAAATATAGGTATAATTGTCTTAATAAACACTATCTATAAGCAGATTTGCACAGATAAATAATGACCAACAGCCAGGATTCTGAATTTTAAAGAGATGTTACAAAACAAAATCAATGTTCATTAGGAAAGAGATGTACATTATCAAAAAGTATGAGCAATTAATAAAACATACATAATCTGATTTCTCTCTCTATATATATTGCAGGCACACATATGTGCAAATTACATTTTAGAAATAGTTTTAAAACATTGAAAGGCAGTATTATAACATATTATTAAGAGGAATTGATTTTACGTAAGTGAGCCTCTTTCTTGAGCTTTCATTTTTTTAAAGGAAATTTAGAAACAACTATAAAAATCAGCCTAATATCAATGCACCTTTGCTAGTTCTAGAAGGAACTCCACAATGTATTAGGGAAAATAATGGGATAGTGATATTTTAAAAAATAAATAAAGATTTCAAAACACAGAAGAAAATTGATCTGCCAAGCCTCAAAATATCTCAGTGTAGATATAAAATCTTTAAAGAGAAACCATATGACCACAATTTATAATGCGTAATATATATTTAACATATAGTATGACATTTTAATATAAAAATTACACAGAAAAATTTACCTTATAATTCACTTTTTGATTGGTGATATATTTTCTTTTTATATATTGGATTCTGAAGCAAAAAAAGAAAAGAAAAAATTTCATCATGCATATCATATAAAGCTAGGCATAGTTATAAATAAGACAGTTATTATATATTTCTTCATACCACTCAAGAATCCAACTCATGAAAGCATAATGGGAGATGAATAGCAAATAGGCTTTTGAAGAGGAAAATACTGAGCGGCTTAAACTGTCAGGTATCTGATTTAGGGCATTGCCTGTTGAGACCGAAACCCCAACTGGATCTCAACTCTCTCAGTCATTACCTGTGCAATTTTGGACAATTTAGTGATGTTCTCTGAACCACTGTTACTTCAACTGACTAAGAAATATAGTATGCCTTTGATAGGTCTGAGTATTAAGTGTTAAAATCCATTTGAAGCATTTAGGATTGTGCCTAATACATAGTTAATATTAAAATATAAAGTATTAGTAGTAATTTTAAATAGAAACAGAATGTTATAACTTATGATTAAGAATTTTGATATTTGGGTATTTGAGTAAATTAATTAAAATTATATTTTATAATGTGCACAACATAATTTCAGTTGCACTGTTTTAACATTGAAAATAATATTGAAAGAAGCAAAATAGAAGGGAAATGTGTGATCTCAGAGGGTAATGAAGGCTTTTCAGAACCTGAGAGCAAATGGCATAATATATATTTTTTCTTTTTCTTAGCTAAAATCAGCTTAAGTCCTTAACTGACAATTTCTAAAATTGATGAAAATTACATTTATAAGGACCAAACAGATACCTCAAATACATTAGGAAGTTAACAGAGATAGGTTGTTCACTGAACAATTATTTACTTAGTACCTATTACATTCTCAGCTATTATTTGTCCTGGGCATGCAGCATGAACAAGAAATGAAAGCACCTGCCCTCAGGGTGCTTACATTTTGGAGGGTCAGGGGTCTGGGCAGACAAAAATAAATACACAAATGGGTAAATATATATTATGCATCATCATAAGTGCTAAAAAATAAAGAAAAAAGGGGATTAATAATTATTGATACATATCCAAGAAGAAAATCAAGATACATGTCATTGTCAACCAGGAGAAAAACTGGAGCTGAAGAAAAATATTTGGTAACATGAAGTGATCTGGAAAAGATAAACTAAGGATGAAGTATAAACAGAAATGAAAGTTAAGGACTGAGCCTTTTAAGATCAGGGCTATGAGAATGAGAAATTATTGAGAAGGGAAAACTAGGAATATGTGGTATGATGTTCCGGAAGAACTGTGAAAGAGACGAGGTAGCTTGGAGATCTCAATCTTTATTATCTATCATTTATCTATCTATTGTCTATCTATCTATCATCTATCTATCTACCTACCTATCTGTCTATCTATCTATCTATCTATCTATCTATCTATCTATCTATCTATCTATCTATCATCTATCTATCATCTATCAATCTATCTATCATCTATCTATCTATCATCTATCTATCTATCATCATCTATATCTATCATCTATCTATCTCATCTATCATCTATCTGTCGTCATCATCTATCTATCTATCTATCTATCTATCTATCTATCTATCTATCTATCTATCATCTATCTATCTATCTATCTATCATCTATCTATCTATCTATCTATCATCTATCTATCTTCATCATCATCATCATCATCATCTATCATCATCTATCTATCATCTATCATCTATTGAAGCAAAGCTCTCAGATTCCTTTAGAACACATACTGCTCAGAAGCTTCAGGCTCCCTAGGCTGCCTACATGAGTGTTCACTCATGGTTATTTTTGACCTTTTCAACATGGCCTTTTCTAAAATGAGAGGTAAACAGAGCCCAATGTGACCGATTTCTAAGTTTGATTTTAGGAACTAGCGATGGTAGGTTGTTCAGGTGTCCTGTTCTAGAAACTAGAACCGCTCGTTTTTGTGCATGATACATGGCACTCTTGCCACTCACGTGCACGACTGGAGCCAAGGAGAAGCAAGGGATTCCAAGGGGTAATTCTTAAGAGTTGGGTAATTTGAATATCCTATTGTAGGAAAACTCATACGTGGGCATACAGAAACCTGTTTGTTTATATGAAGCTTATATTTTCTGCTAAGGTTAACATAGGCTTATTGGAAATGAGGTCAATAGCATCTGGCTGATCATTTCATCTTTTCTCTGTGGCTAGCACAGAAAAGCAGCACTGTGTTCAATGTATGTGGCCTAATGCCCAACCCTGACCCTAAGTGTGAGACACACTCCTCATTTTACTGTTTAAACACTGATTAATTTATAATTGTTCCTAGCACATTTAAAACTACCCCATCAACCAGGAGATATCACCAAAGGGGACCAACTCCATCTTCTGTGTTCCCCACATAGACTCTAATATATGGGGACAATCCAGTCAAATACTTCCTGAAAACAATTTAGAATATTTTCCCCCTACTCCTCTTTTACGTTAAGTCAAACTATCCTCTCTCTGCTTCAGCTGTGGCAGTGTGCTTAATATTTTTAAATGCAACAATTATTTTAGAGGTAATTTCAACAAGTATTAACTTGCAATCTTAAAATAATAAAAAGTACACTTCTAACTAGAAAAAGAAATACATACGTAGTCATTTTAACTTACGTGGTCACTGTTTCAAAGCTTTTCATGTTATGCCACACTACCCTTCATTTCAATTAATTTTCTAAATTAGAGGCATATTAGGCATTCACAAAAACTAAAGTCTCTCCAGGTTGTCCAAAACAACTTTTTTATAAAGAGAGAAAGATATGGCAGCATAAAGCAAAGTTTTATAATCCTTTGATACACTTTTATAAGACTTTCTTATTTTAGAGAAATTTAAGCTTCAGAGCAAGATTGAAGGGAAGGCACAGAGATTTCCCATATAAACCCTGCCCTCACACATGCACAGCCTCCTCCATTATCAACATCTTCCAGCAGAGTGGAACATTTGTTACAATCCATGAACCTACATCAATATTTCATAATCACTGAAGTTCCACAGATTACTTATGGTTCACTTCTGGTGTTGTACATTCTATGGGTTTGGACAAGTGTTTTGTGGCATGTGTCCACTGAACATATTCACAGCCCTAAGAATCCACTTCCCCTATTCATGTCTCTGCCATCAACCTGTGCAAACACTGCGCTTATTACAACGTACATAGCTGTGCTTTTTTCTATTTTAAAACACTATGTAGTTGAAATAATACAGTATGTAGTTTTTTAAGATTGGCTCTATGCCTTATAGCATGTACTTAAGGTTTCCATATCTTTTCATGGCTTAGTAACTCATTTCATTTTAGTATGGAATAAATTTAATTGCACATACCACAGTTTATTGACCCAGTCAGCTACTGAAGGACATCTTGGTTCTTCCACTTGTGGCAATTATGAATAAAGCTGCCATAAACACTTGTGTGTAGGTTTTTGTGTAGACATGTTTTCTGCTCCTTTGGGTAAATACCAAGGAGTATAATTGCTAAATTGTATGGTAAGAGTATGTTTGGTTTTATCAAAAATCACCAATCCGTCTTTGAAAGTGACTGTACTTTTTTGAATCCCCACCACCAATGAATGAGAGTTCCTGTTACTCCACATCACTGCCATCATTTGGTTATGTCAGGGGTTTGGATTTTGGCCATTCTAATAGGCATGCAGTGGTATCTTGTTGTTTTAATTTGCAGTTCCCTAATGACATATAATGTGATGCATAGTTTTGTATGTTTGTCATCTATATATTTTCTTTGGTGAAGTATGTATTAAGGCCCATTTTTAAATTGTGTTGTTTGCTCTTTCAACATTGAGTTTTAAGGCTTCACTGTATATTGTGACAACAGTCCTTTATCATACAATTTTTTGGTAAATATTTTCTCCCAGTCTATGGCTTGTATTCTCATTCTCTCAACCTTGTCTTTCACAGAGCAGAAGTTTTTAATTTTAAGAAAGTTCAGTTCATCAATTATTTCTTTCATGGATCTTGCCTTTGGTGTTGTATCTAAAAATCCATCACCACACAAGGTCATCTAGACTTTCTCTTATATTATCTTCTAAGAGTTTTGCATTTTACATTTAAGTCTGTGACTAATTTTGACTTAATTTTTAGAAGGATATAAGGTCTGTTTCTAGATTTCTTTTCTTTTTTTTATGTGATGTTGAGCTGTTTCAGTGCCATTTGTTGAAAAGACTAGTTTTGCTCCATTGTATTGCCTTTGTTTCTTTGAAAAAATCAGTTGAATATACTTACGGAGCCCTATTTCTGAGCTCTCTGGTATCTACCATTTATCTATTTGTCTGTTCTTTCATCAATACCACATTGCCTTGATTACTGTAGATTTATAGTAAGTCTTGAAGTCAGATAATGCCAGTCTTCCAAATTGTTCTTCTGTTGGCAATCCTGGGGCTTTTGTCTCTTCAGATAACTTTTCAAATCATTTTGTCAATATCAGTAAAATAACTTGCTGAGATTTTGATTGGGATTTAATTGGATGTAGGTCAAGTGGGGAAGAACAAAAATCTTGGCAATATTGAATCTTTTTATTCATGAACATGGAATCTCTCCATTTATTTAGTTCTTCTTTGATTTTGTTCATCAAAGTTTTGTGGTTTTTTTATTTAAATCTCGTACATATTTTGTTAGATCTACACCATTTCATTTTTATGCTAATGTAAATAATATTGTGTTTCTATTGTCAAATTCAACTTAGTCATTGGTAGTATATAGGAAAGTGATTGACTTTTGCATATTAACCTTGTATCCTACAACACTGTTATAATTGTATATTAGTTCAAAGATTATCCTTTTGAGAATGTTAATAACTATCAGTAGAACTATTTCTTTTAAAATTTCAGATATTTGAAATGTTTCATATAAAAAAACAGGAAAAATGAACTTTTAGAGAAACATAATAAGAAGTTTGACAAATAGAGCACTGGAATTTAAAATAAGATCATATTACTTATGAAATACTTTTAAAGTCTATTTGCATTGAGGATAATTCATCCTTTAATGCTTAGCAT